TAGCCAGTCTGTTGAGGGTTAATCAAGGGGTTACGACAATTGGGGGCAGCTGAGAAGGGGCTTTTCAAGACGTTGTGCACGGATTGCGCTGCTATGAAATTACATGTTGCTCTAATGCCGCTTGCTTTCGTTGCTTGAACAATAGAAAAAAACGTTAGGCAACAATTTCATTTGATGTGATGAAATGCATTTGCTCCATTATACACATCAGTTGGCAGTTGGACTTAATCATATTTGTAATAGCTATATATAAGTATACATATATGTATATATATAAGATATTATAAGTATTTATATTGGTTGCCTAAGTCGTGTAACATTGAATATTCTTGTTAAGTTTATTATCTTTGATTTATAAACTAAGTTTTATATTATACATATGTATAGATATTAATGGAAATTGTTAATAATATTACTTGTTCTTGTTATATTCATGTAGTTATTCAAAGATAGAGCTGAGGTATTATATATATTATTCCGTAATCTTTCTTGTTCATTAAATACTTGTTGTTTGTCTGATTTACTTATAATTGCATTGAACCTAGTAATTGTTTTTACATTCATATATTTATTACCCTTAAATTTCCATCAGCGCTTAATTGGTTTATATGTATATATACATATGTATATGTATTTAGTAACAGTACTAGTAAAAATAGTAGTAGTGCCAATAGTAATAGAAGTAGTACCAGTAGTAGTAGAAATATTTGCACTAGCTAGAAGTAGTACTAGCAATAGTAGTAGTAATGCAATAGTAGTAGAAGTAGTAGTTGGAAGTAGCAGAACCAATAGTTGTAGAAGTTACTAGCAATAGTAGTAGTAGTAAGTAGTAGCTATAGTAGTAAAAGTAGTAGTAGTAGTAGTTAGATATAGTATTAGCAATAGTAGTAAAAGTAGTAGTATTAGTTATATATAGTAGTAGCAATAGTGATATAAGTAGTAGTTAGAAATAGTAGTAGTACCAATAGTAGTAGAAGTTACTACTGTAAGTAGTAGCAATATTAGAAGTAGTAGAACTGAATAACTTTTTTCTGCCTTAATATTTAATATTTTAGAATATTTATAGTTGATCTGATGGCTTGGTAAATAATATTTGTTATCAACATAGAATTGTATATGGTGTGATATAGTCTGCATAATCTACTATCAGTTAACATTGAGTAATATAGCGACAAAATTATAAACATTGGCATTGTTTTGCCGAACAGACACAAACAAGTACATACATATAGATATACTAAGTACTAATATTTATATACTATCTGTATACTCTTGCACGTAAACTATAAGTTTACAAATATCATTCATTAAAATGCGATAAAAATGAATGATTATATTGTTTTGTTGGATTCGTAATTATCGGAAATTATGTTGTCTAATGACAATATAATTTTAATAATTTTGAATGGAATATCTGTACACTACTTTACCTGTACCTCGTGATGTTTTTAAAGTTAAAGCATATACATATATATGTGTTTATACAAATATATTTATACTACAAATACCATATACAAATTTATATTTATGTATAAAAAGCATGAAAAACAAATTGGCTAAAAATAACATGAAAGTTGCGTAGTTCGTGCAAGGTTTGTTTTCTTCAGATAGACACCAAAAATATAGTATTCATCTCTTGAGAAATCAAAGAAATATCTATGTATGTATAAACATGCATAGACTGGTGCCAATATATTTGAATTTTGACACAGATGCACAGATATTTATTAATAAATACTCAAAAAATATGGATTATTAACAATCTGTATTATTATATAATAATCTTGCTGATCTTTCAATGTAAATATAAAGTGTATATTCGTCACTCTATTGACTTTCACACTGCATTTCTCTGTAAAAACTAAAAATCAAGCGTTACTAAGAGTAATGAACGACTAGTTAACTCCCCGCACATATTGTCATATAAGAAGCACAGAGCAGTAATCATTCAATCAATCAATCATTTCATAAACAAATCAGTCGAAAACCCAAAGACACCCACACTAATTTGAAAAATATAAAATATAAATAAATAAAAGCTAAACGTGCCGCACAATATGTATGCTTGTATGTATACAAATAAATATATTTAAATACATACATACATACGTACATATGTAGTATTTTTTCATAGTGTATTTCGGGGGCTCGACCCATCCAGCTGTATATATGTATAAGTAAATAAAATTTGAACAGACAAGAGCTTTATGTAGTCATAGATACATACATGCTGAGCACATCCGCTTCATTATTATTATATTAACTCAACAGCAACAACAACAACAAGTACAGTGCGTATCACTTGTTGCGCTTATCAGCGGTATACAACAAAAAAAAATTTTTTTTTTGTTTTGGCCATAAAAAGTTTTTTTTTTTCGCAGAAAAATGCAAAAACAAAATTTGAAATGAAGAAAAAAAAAAGAAATGAAAATGTATTGAATATTCTTAATCTCCGATTACGAATCGATATACCCAAACAACAACAACAACAGCAACAACGAGAGACTAAGAAGAAAACAACAACATTTAGCTTTTCGAAACTAACGGTGACTCGGCATGTCAGAAAAAATATTGAGCTCTAACGATGACGCTGCGTAAATTTGTGCGCTCCACTGGTTCGCCGCTAGCTAGAGAATTGACAAAACAGCGAAATGGCGAACTCTCGCCGATACAGCGGCGGACTCGGCGAACAAGCGGGTTTTATAGCAAGACTCTAGTAAATTATAGCGCCATAATATAACTTTTGGATAAAACACAAAACAGAGAGAGAAGATATGATCATAGCCCAAACATGTTTTTGTTGTTGTTGTCATTGCTGTTGTTGACTTTTCTCTTTTCCTCTACTCTCTACCTTTTTCTAGTTCTGCTTCTTAAGTTATTTTTAAATATTTGTTTGTGGGTGGCTAGATTAACTCTGGCGAGGCGTGAAAAACGGGTGTTAATTGAAGGTGTCTATGTCGAGTGATGTAATTAATGTCTGCGAATTTGTTGAGCTAAAGTGTTAGATTGTATATTTAGTAATTACCGAATGTATATTAGATAAAAGCTGCTAATAAATTGAAATTGGTGAATCACAGGCATAATCGATCAATTTTGAGTTTTACTATATGTACATAATCAACAAATTTAAATATAATAAATTTAAAAAACTAACATCTTTTTAGTAAGAAATATTATATTATTAACTGGCTTAATAATATTCGTCAAATTTCTTCTTTATTTATAATATTATATTATTAACTGGCTTAATAATATTCGTCAAATTTCTTCTATATTTATACTCATTCAGCTAGTTCTGCAGACAAGTCAATCAATTCGCCTCTGAGTTTTGATATTTGTAGTATTTTAGCTGGAATTCTTTTAATATACATTTTTTTAAATTTTCATAATATTTTTCAGTTCTAAATGCATAAATTAAAATAATAAGAGGTTTTGTTTTTGTTTTTATTATAGAAACTTTTCTTTGTGTTGTTCGGGTCTGTTTTTCTGTGTCTATCTCTTGTCTTCATACACACAACAGGCGCACTCGCGCGCCAACACAAACACACACACACACAGGGAATGCTCAATTTAAAGCCGGCTTTTTTTTTTTTTTTGTATCTATTTATTTGTTTATGTGCTCGGCTTCTCGTTTGCTTTAGCTTGCGATGTCTTCAATTTTAATGCCTTTACTGGTGTGTATGTGTGCGAGCGTATTGCTGCCTCTATTCTCTCTATGCAAGCATTCGTGTGCGCTCCAAGTCAGGTTTGTGCTCTTCAGATTGAGAGAGAGAGAGAGAGAGAGAGAGCCACACAGCGACAAAAATATGTGCATATGCAAACACAGTGAATTGATTTAAGCGTCGATTAACGCACACATCGACACACACACGCATACGCACACGAATAGAGACTCAGAGCGAAAGCCGCGACAACATACGATATGGATATGGGGCAGCGCAACAGCAGCAACCGCAGCAGAGGCTTGGCGTCTGTGGGCACGGTCAGCCAACGAGCGAGCGCGCGCGCTCAGTGAAAAATTTTGTGTCGTCTCGTCGCAACTGCGTGTTTTTTCATTAATCAGTCAGTAGCACTAAAATGGTGCGCAAGTCCGGTAGAGTTAAAATTCCTACTACTCGCGATGTGGGCAGCATTCTGTTGCGTGGCAAAGCCAAAGGCGATGCCACTGGCGGACGTGTCAGCAGCGATGGGGAGGCGGCAATGGCTAGACGACAGCGCCAACGGCAGCAGCGACGTCGACGACGGGACAGCAGCGCCAGCAATTCAGCTTCAAGTGATGGTGTGTGTGTGCTTGTGTGTGTTAATTTTTTATTTTTTTTGCTATATGTGTTATTGCGCGTCTTGTTGCCATTTTATTTTTAGCATTCACTTTTTTAAGTCTTTTTTTTTAGTAAAACATATAATAAGAATATTTGTCTTTATTTTTGGCATCATAAAAAGTTCATGAGCAGTACCGTTAAAACTGCAGCACACTTCTAATGCACTTTACGTATACAAACTGAGGCTTAGGCAAGCAAGAAAGACATTTGCGAGGCCCTTAAACTGTAAAGCACAGCTGCGTAGGCAGGGATTGTGCAACTGTTGTTATTGTGCTGCAGTTAAAAATGTTCAATAATAAATATTTTTTTTGCATTAAGATTTGCCTAGACAAGTTTGTATAGTATATGTATATATACATATGTACTTCACATTTAATTTGAGCGAGGCTGTAGCTAAACTGGTATGTGTGGAATGCTTTTAAAACTTTGAAATCGCCTATTGCGCTTTGTGCATGCACACAGTGTGACTCAAACTGTTTAAAGTTGTTGGCGAACTGCTCAAACTGTATGAGAGTGCTGTTCGTGGCTTTAAAACTGTGGATTCAAATAAAACTATAGCCAACGTGGATTACTTAGGTCCAATATCAATATAATGATATCACAATATTAACTTAATGTATATTTATTATATGAGATTTGTTATTTCGATCTATAATATTTATCTATCTCTCTCGCACACAGAATCGGCCGAAAGTCAAATAATGCATGCAGAGGCTCTGCCCGTTGGACATCCTGCTGGCTCGCCCATTGGCCATGCGCTGAGTCCTAATGGCGTTGGCCTCGGCCTCAGCAACAGCAGCAATCAGAGCAGCGAGAATTTCACACTCTGCAATGGCAATAGCAATGCCAGCAATAACAACAACATGATGTACTCACCGAACAACAACAACAACAATGGCAGCAGCAGTCAACAGCAACAGCAGCAGCAGCAACAACAGCAGCAGCAACAACAACAGCAACAACAACAACAGCAGCAGCAACAACAGTCGCCAACAGTTTGTGCAATTTGTGGAGATCGGGCGACAGGCAAACATTATGGCGCCTCCAGCTGCGATGGCTGCAAGGGTTTCTTCAGGCGCAGCGTACGCAAAAATCATCAATATACCTGCAGGTGAGTTTGACTAAGAGATAACCAGCTAAAGTCACGCTTAAAGCTACCGCCCTCTCCTCTCTCTTTCGCTCTGTAGATTCGCACGCAACTGTGTTGTGGACAAGGATAAGCGCAATCAGTGCCGTTATTGCCGTCTGCGCAAATGCTTCAAGGCTGGCATGAAGAAGGAGGCGGTGCAGAATGAACGCGATCGCATTAGCTGTCGTCGCACTTCCAATGATGATCCGGATCCAGGCAACGGACTGTCGGTTGTATCGCTCGTCAAGGCGGAGAACGAATCACGACAGTCGAAAGCGGGCGCCGCCATGGAGCCCAACATCAATGAGGATCTCTCGACCAAACAGTTTGCCAGCATTAACGATGTATGTGAGTCCATGAAACAGCAGCTGCTCACCCTAGTCGAGTGGGCCAAACAGATACCGGCCTTCAATGATCTGCAACTGGACGATCAAGTGGCTCTGCTGCGCGCCCATGCGGGTGAGCATCTGCTGCTTGGTCTCTCGCGTCGCTCCATGCATCTGAAGGATGTGCTGCTGCTCAGCAATAACTGTGTCATCACCAGGCATTGTCCAGGTTAGTGTTGATTTTGTCATTTGTTCTTCATGTTTGTTAATCTCTCTCTGTCTGTATTATAGATCCCCATGTCTCGCCCAATTTGGATATATCACGCATTGGCGCGCGCATCATTGATGAACTGGTGGTCGTTATGAAGGACGTGGGCATCGATGATACCGAATTTGCCTGTATTAAGGCATTGGTCTTCTTTGATCCCAGTAAGTGGTGTCGATTAGGGCATTTTTTTTTTTTTTTTTTTACATCTCCAATTAATCAAATCTCTCATGTTTTATAATTGCAGATGCCAAGGGTCTCAATGAGCCAAATCGCATCAAGTCATTGCGCCATCAGATACTCAATAATCTGGAGGATTACATCTCGGACAGACAGTATGAGTCGCGTGGTAGATTTGGGGAGATTCTGCTTATTCTGCCGGTACTGCAGTCAATCACCTGGCAGATGATCGAACAAATACAATTTGCCAAAATCTTTGGCGTGGCACACATCGATTCGCTGCTGCAGGAGATGCTGCTGGGTGGTAAGTGGAAGCGCTCAATAGAATAAAATAAAGTCAATTTAATTTGTACTCTTCTTTGCAGGCGAACTGGCGGACAATTCGTTGCCACTCTCGCCGCCAAATCAGTCCAACGATTACCAGAGTCCCTCGCATGGCGGCAATTTGGATGGCAGCCAGGTGAGCTCCACACTGGATACACTGACCACGGGGAGCAGCGGATCGCATGGCCTGGATCTGGATGTGCAGCAGATACAGGCGCTCATTGAGGCGAACAGTGCGGAGGATACGTTACGTGCCTATACGAACAACAATGCGGTGTCAGCGGCTGCTGCTGCCGTCGCTGCCGTCGTGGCTGCCACGCCCTCGTCTGCCGTAACGCCGCCACTGAGCAGCGCTGCCTGTAGTCCGAAATCCCAGGAGAACGTATACATGGATACGACAGCGTCACGTCAATATGGTGTCCAACACAAGAGTCAGCTAATGCACAGTCCACAGCGAGTGCATCCCTACCAAAGAGTGGCCACATCGCCAATCGATACCGGCCTCGGAATGCGCAATCCGGCGGACATTACGCTCAATGAATACAATCGCAGCGAAGACAACAGCGCCGATGAGCTGTTGCGTCGCACGCCCCTCAAAATCCGAGTGCCCGAAATGATGGCGCCCAGCTATGTGATGGGTATGTATACAATATACTTATATATATCTTCAAACTTGAGACTCATTTAAATCTTTATTCTTTACAGAGCCATGTCGCATGACGCTTAAACAGGAGCCCGAAACGGGCTATTAACTGGTGCCATAACCTAAGTGACATATATATATACACTACCCTACCTTACCCTGTCTTACCACCCCAACATACACTTCCCTAACCGATTCCCCACTCTACCTCCTCTACAGGCCCCCTCTTGCTATCTGCTAAGTGCTATACAACAAAATCAAAAAAACAAAACACAAAAACTTACTTAATTGTTATTGCCTTGAACTTTTTGATACCGTTTTTTTATTAGAGTTTAAGTAGGTATTTTGGAAATTGTTGCTTAATTTGTAAAACACGCAATTGCAATCTATTTTTATATTTTTTATTCAAAGGATTTGCTCAAAAACTTTAAAGTAAACTGTTTGTTGGTTATCTATAGATATATTATGCATATGCAAATATATGTATACGTATATATATTTATATACATATATGCAATACTTTGTTTTAGGCTAGGGTGTTGTTTAGTAATATAAAATATATGATTACGTTTAATAAGTAGTTGATGAAAATTGAAGAACTATTTTTATATGAATATATATATATATAATTATATAAATACTGTATGTATAAAATACAATTTAATTTAAAATGGCTGAGTGAATAAAAATATACAAAAGAAATGTATTGTAAACGACTTAAATATCTGTTTTATTGTTTTATGATTTTAAAGAAAGAGAAGATGGAAAATGGAATCAATCTGTTTTCAAATTTGGCGGGCATGTTAACTCAATTTAAATAGAGTTGCAACAAACACGTATATCGATATACATCGTACAATTAACATCTTGTATCGATATTTGGCTATTTGTTAATGTGATCGATGAAAATTAATCGATATGACAATACTATCGATTGATATGACACTACTCACAGCTGACGAAAGGCCCAGCACTATTATTTAATGTCATTTCATTTTTCGTTGTGCGCAATAAAGTGAGCTCCTAGCAGACCATATAAAACGAATATCTGCTAAAGCACAAGTGGCAGCTTGGAAAAAAAGAAAAACTAGTCGACTCTGCTTTTACGTTTTTACCAACATATTCACATTTAATCAAGAAAAGTTCGACCAAATACGCAGTAGAAAACTCGACGGCTAGACGAATAGAAAATTAAATATGTTTGGGCATAAGTTTATAATATGCACGACTTTGCTCCTGTTGAGCAGCTCTGGTGAGTAAAGCTAAAACTAACCCTATGCCGCGTGACGCCCGCAAAAAAAAGAACTGCAACTCTTTGTTCAATTTGCTTTTGCTTGTTCATCGCAATTTAATTTCTGCTGTTTTTTTTTGTTGCTGTTTCGCCTATTGGCATCCCGCTTGCACGCACGTAACCCGTTTGACGGGCTGATAGATTTGTTGTTGCTATTTTGTTATTTTGCTGTGGTTTTATCTACAAGGGCTGTTGAAAAACAACACTAAGTCGCGTGTAGAATAATTTATACGTTTTAAACGCATAGACGTGCAAATGTGTGTATGTTGTTGTGTGTGTGCGGCGCATTGACATTTATCTGGTTTGTGACACTTTTCTTGCGGTTTTTGTCGTTGCCATTGGAGGACAAAGCTACGAAGTAGAATCTAAGGAATCTAACAAGATGGTGGCTTAGTACCGCTGCAACAAAGAGGAAGCGTACAAAGGCGAAGGCAAGCGCAAACGGTTTCTTCAGTTGTGTCTCCACTTACATACTCACACACTTGCATTACGTTGCTGCTTCATATGTGAATATGTGTGCTTGTACTGTATGCTGCGCTTATCTAACCGACAAGAACAACGTTCTACCTGCATAGAGCATGAGAAACGGGCAGATAAAACAATTTGCTTTCCTCTCGCTCTTTCGGCTTCTGCCGGCAGCAGCCCCCGCATTGCATATGTATTCATGTATATATGAATGTAGCAGAATGCAGGCATATTCAATTTCTCACTTTTGCCCGTTTCTCCTCCTTCTTTGGCCGCCTAGTAGGTTACACTTCGCCGTCTTCTTTTGTTGTGCCTGGCATCAACAATTTAATTATATTTGATTCACAGTGATGCTTAAATTGTTATTTATTTAACTTGCTTGTTATTTGCCTTAGGCATAGCCGCCCCACAAATACGTACATACATATGTACATTCATATGTATGTTTATCCCCTTTATCAGTTAGCCCTAAATGCAGGCGTATTTGTGATATAGCAGCAGCCGCAGAAACAGTAGTTTGGTATTCCCCCCTCTACAGCTATTTGTTGAATGTTTCTAGAATTTAACAGCAGACAGTTATTTTTAAATAATAATTACAGTTAATGGTGAGATTGAATTGGCATAAAAAAAAGAAATAAAAACAAACAACAAAAATATAAAAAAAAATCATTAAAATTTATTTTAAGTACAAAACAATTTTTTTTAATACATATATGAACAAAATAGTTGTTTTTTTTTTTTGTCACTTTATATGAAGCCAAACTTCATTTCTTTTGCATTTATAATTAATATAAAATAATTTTAATCGAGACTAGATTTTCGATTCATTATCAATGTGTGTTTATAGCAATATTTTATGTATATATACCTAATCTAACTCTTGCATTTGCATTTCTCAAAGACGTAGAAAATAAATCATTGATATATACGTTTGTGTGTGTGTATTCATGCATTAGTTTCAGCTGCGGAAAAATATGAATGTTTATTTGAGCAAAGTTTTGCTGATAAGATTTGCCGCACATACTTGAAAACTGAATCGCATAGCCGTAGAACCTATCGGATTAAGCTATATTAATATAAATATACATATGTATATTGTATACAATTGAAACTAACCCGCTTAATTCGCATGGGATCAATGATGTGTCATATAGCTGAGAAATATAAAAATCACAAAAGAGTGAAAGTCGTCGGAAAATTTGTTACCTGATAAATATAGCTGATATGATATAGATAAAATAGTATACTAAATAAATGTACAGAAAATATTTTTAAAAATATTTAGTTTATAAACTTTAATGTTTTAAAGTTTACAATAATGCCTCTTTTATATTATGACTGATAGATATACATATATAGTATGTATATCAAATAATTGTAAATAATACTATACAAATATAAAATCAAGTTGTTTTTTTTTTTAGCTCCACTCTTTGAAAGACTACATTAAATACCACAGAATTATGCTTCCTTGACAGGCGGAATATATATAATTAGAGTGTATGATTCTGTATAGTTTCCATATGGTTGATTATCAATTTTTTTTTTAGGCTTACCTTGAAGAAATTGGAACATAGTATATAGATAATATATATATTTTTATTACGACTAAAGAATATGCTTTACATATGTTAAATTATTTAACCTTTAAGCAATTTTAATCATTCAGCTTGTAGCACATCCACAATTCCGAAAAAGTGAACCACTATTAGGCTGCATTTCCTGTGAACTTTAATTAGGGGCTATTGCCTTACACAGGCCAGTACGCTTGCATGCCCATGGCAAATAAATCTTATTAGCTGGGGCACTTTTCCCGGAATTTTCCAGTTACGCCAGGGAAATGTATTCGATATTTGTCGCTCTCGCTGTTTGTCTGTCTCGAAAGGGGTTTGTCTGTCTGGTTGTATTTTTGCTGTTTGCTTCTGCTGCTGCTGCTGCTTAACTTGCATTTAAAGGTCATCTCTGCAGTCGTGTTACAATGGCATTGAACTAGAACGCTTGGGGTGCCAAGCGGGGGGCGGGGGCGTATCACCTGTGCAACTGTGAGTCTTGCAAGTCGGAAATATAAAATATATGCCTGAGCTTTCGCCTACAAATATATGCACATATAATATAATTAAGCTGCGTTGAGTCACTAACTATATGAAAGAACAAATGTTTATATGTATATATGTATATTGATATTTATGCATATACAGATGTAGATATTTGTAAAAGCTGGCAAAATTGTTGTTGACGAGTAAACTTAACTTTTATAGATAAAAAAAGAGCATTAAAAATAACAAATAAAGGAAAAGCATGCACCAACTGTAATTGTGATACGCTGAGAGGGAGTACACACATACATACATATACAATCATGTAGAGCATTGGTCAGTCAGCTATAGCCGTTCTCAATAGATTTTTGCGTCACTTTATCGTCTGCAGAAACGGAAATAAATTGACATATATGAAAGAGAGAGTGCGAAGGGTATCCATATGCCTATAAAAATAAACCTTTTGTTAGTGTGACGGGTGCAAAGGTTTCAGCGAGAGAGCCCTCCAAGCGCTCTCCACAAATCCATGGCACTTGCAAAAGTCACGCCCACAAACAAAGGCAGCCCCATCTGCCAACCGCCTGTCAGCAGTCGGTCAACGCAATTTCTGGTTATTTGGTTATCAGTTGGCGACTGTGCAAATATTTATATTATTCATCAATATGACTCAGACTCGGAGCTCGGGCCGAAAACTAAGAGGGCTGACGACGTCGATACAATATAATGAAACACAAAGCGCTCGGCTAAAATATTGTTATTCATTGAAACATGATAATTATATTAAAAGTTGACTATTGACTCTATTTGAAAATGGCTGCGTAGAAGCCTGAATAGAAAGCGCTGTAAAGAGCTTTTCTGACGTGATATACCTATATATTTTAATGTATACAAGTATAAATCTATGCATATATGTATTTCTTAATTAAATTACACGCTTAGTATATATGAAAGGTAAAGCCGCTCATAGAGTGTGATATACGTATCGTGTGTATGTATATATTGATGATTTATATAGAGGGTATAGATTATATATATAGGGTATAGATTACGTTTTACTGTATATCCTGCATAGTTTAGTTCCATATTTAAACCCATTAAATTTGAGAAAAAGCCTAGAGGGCCTGAGATTTTGAAATTGATTTATTTTTAATTTTTTACGCATATATTCCCCATATAATTTTCCACTTATCTCAGTAAATTGGCTTCAGCTAAACTAAAATTGAACAACTCTGACATATTTTTCTCAAAACTTTACATAAGTTTAATGACCTAATAAACGCATATCGTCGACTCGCACTTCAAATAATAGGAATTAAGCGAGCAGCATGTTGACACAGTGATAAAAGATCTTAAAGAGGCAATGGCACGCAGCTTTCATGACACACACTTTTCATTTCATCTCTTGCAGTTTACACGCAGTCGCTGTCGATGAGCTTGAAAGATGCCCAGTTTCCCGAGCAGGAAAAGCCGTTGACATCGAGCAGCAGCAGCAGCTCGACTTCTACAACTTCCACTACGACCAGCACGACTAAGCCGCCCCCAACAAGCAGCTCGAGCAGCACTTCAACAACATCCACAACAACCACAACTACTGTCG